TTCAACCAGATTACGATAAAACGGAACGAAAGAAAATGTGCCAGTTTAACGAGGTGGAAGTCAGGCTAGTCTTAAGGCGCATTTACATTTGGTCGTTAGCCCGTATTCGAGTGCTCGAAAGACATTACTTGAATTCGGCCACCCGATACAATATTAACATTGTTTTTACTCGAACACGTGCTGGATGACGGCGTCGGGTAACCAAAACGAAAACGAATACGGGCGTACTCAACTCCGTTCATTTACACTTATTCGTTTGTCTGAATTCCATAGGCAATCGTATTCGGGCTAACGACCAAGTGTAACTACGCCATTGGGCTTTGTTGCCCGATTTGAAATAGTTTTTACTGGTTCTTTGTTGTAGAGCTTAGTAAACTGTTAAAGATCACTTAATACTGTTATCGTATTGTATTTTACCTACAAGTACTTAGTACTTAATATTTTTTTTTAAATATAGTTTTTCGTTCTTTGTATCGAGGATTATTTTTAGTTTTTCACCTACAAAAGGTTTTCCCATGAAAATGTATTATATGTATTTTATTTTAATTTCAATGTATTTTAGTTTAGGACAAAGTATATTCTATCTATACAGCATTATCAAAAAATAGTGTTTTTTAACGTAAAGAAAAGTATACTCGACATTACTTCTAAAAGTTATAAAGGAGCGAAATTTATTAGTGTTTGCTAAAAATATGGCGAATGAATGACGATCATCAATCAATTTGGCATCCCCCCGCCCGTGCTAAGATTATGACTAAGAGCTGAAAAGCAAAGGGTACATTTACCCTGAGGTTCATTTACCTAATACAAAAGAACATTCCAAAAAACCTGGCCAAGCGCGAGTCTGGCCTCGCTGGGCCAGGGTTCCGTAAAATTCTTTATTGGTTTTCGTCACAACTTACTTACTTAAATGGTCGTCTTTAGTATATTTTTTGTTTAAATACAGCATAAGAGGCATTAAATATCAAAATTTCTACTTAACTAGTTTCTATTTTGAGATAGACCTCGAAACAAAAATTGTCTAAAAATTACAACTTTTGCAGCAACCCATTTCTTTGTAAATGATACTAAAATAATATAAAAAATATTTAAACATACATCAAAAAGTGTAAGTAACACGTATCATTATCAGAAACATGTATGTGCTATTTTGTTTTTTTTTCATAGCAAAATATATATGGACACAATTTTTTAAATTTTTATTGCTCTCGAAAACATAATGCCATCAAAACATTACTTGTAAAAAACCAAGACATTCCTTACGCAACTATGTTTTTTCTTAGCAAAGTATATTCGTATACAATCTTTATTGCTCTCGAAAACATAATGCCATCAAAAACATAACTTGTAAAACCAACTCGCAACTATGTTTTTCTACCATAAAAAGTTGTGAGATCCATGTAATACCACTAGTCCTCCTGTCTTAAGTTAATTTTATTAGCTAACTTAACAATACCTTATAGTGATCATATCAGTATTAAAAATCTTTTGTTTTAAATAAATAGATTGACTTGGCCATGAAAACGAAGTTAAAGGGGGTCGAAAATGGCCTGAACTGGTTTCGAGAAAAGGATGGTACGCAGGCGCGGTCGTAGCCTGACATTTTGTAGGGGGTCACTCACTACACTAATAAAAAAAATGTATCTGGTATAAAATAAACATTATTGCACAAGGCACAATTTTACTTTATGCATCTATACTAATATTATAAAGAGGAAAGATTTGTATGTAAGTATGTTTGTAACGAATTGGCTCAAAAAGTACTGGACTGATTTTAAAAATTCTATCACCATTTGAATGCTACATTATCACTGATTAATAGGCTATAGTGTATTTTCAAATAGTAGTAAAGTATGAAAACTTCGATAATGTAACCCAACGTGTGTAAAAAATACCAAAAAATTGCGTACGCTGCGGAAGACAATGACAATAGAGCAATTTGATGTACCAAAATTTTATAGAGGATACTAATATCTACAAAAAAGTCCGCAATACGATATGTCTAACTATTATAGTTATGTCACAACTGTCCCCTGCGGTTGCACCCGCGTTATTTTAAAAGGTTTATATTGAGTCAAACTTAATATATGGACACAGGCTGTCGTGGAGTTTTTTACAGAACTTTTAAAGGGGAAGAATTCCGTCATACATATTTTTTATGTAACTTTAACCGTTTACCCAGCGCACGCAACGGAATGAAATATTATTACCCGTTTTTACTACATTTTTCATCGATGCTACGCTTCTACTGGTCGTAGCCTGGTGTTATATAGCCTATAGCCTTCCTCAATAAATGCACTGTCCAATACAAAAATAATTTTTCAAATCGGAACAGCAGAGCAAAGTTGCATTCGGTACAACGAGTCCTAAACTACGCAATGATTTTTTTACTTGGAATGGAAGGTTTATAATAATTATTATGAAGAAAGTCATTATGTATAATACAAGCCTTTAAACCAAAACTAAAGTACACACTACAGCTCTACACCGGAGCAAAGCGAGGGCGGGCCACTAGTTACTTATAAAACAAATGGAAGTCATCTTTTTTACCCGACTGCGCAATACCAGAGCGCGAAGCGCGACGCGCAGACAGGGTGTAGTGTTTAACAGTCTATATATATGTTCCTTTGTGGCACACTAGAGACCAAACGAGTGGACCGATTTTGATGATTCATACATCAATCGATTCGTCTTAAACATGGGACTGCTACTACATGGATAGTGCTCAAAATTCAATATGGGGACAATTAGGCGCCATATTGTGACGAAGTAAAAAAAATAAGTTGACGAAATATGTCGAGTAGGGTATCATTGTCTAGACAATTGAAAATCATGTTTAGGTTCCCTACACCATTTTTTATTTCATATGACTGTTTAGGATCTACAACGATTTAAATTTGTATATTACCCACTTGCGCTTTTAATTTCAATCTTACGTTTGTATGGATCTTTGTTACTCTTTCACCTAAAAATATTGAATGGATTTGTATGAAACTTAACATTAATATAGCTCATACATGATAATAACATATAGATAATAATTTATGTAGTCATTGAGTAAATTGGCCAAAATATGACAGTAAGTGTCACGTAAGAGGGATAAAAATCTGCGAGCCATTTTGGACTGCACTGCAAAAACAATAAAAGTTACATGAATATAATAATAATGTGAAAATGTATCTCTTAAATAGTTCTACAAAAAAGTCCGCGACACCATATATCTATTTTTAATGTGCAAGCCATTATCGCTAAAATAGTAAATCTAAAATTAAATATTATTTCATGTCCATTTTCAAAATGCACATTTTGTATTAACATATTATTTTTTATCAAAACTAATACTTTTATCGCTTGAAATATAAAGACGAAAAAATTTGCCTTGTATACTATGTCATTTCGACAAATATTTAAAAAGTAACAACGATGAAAAAGTGATAGCGCGTGTACTATGTAGAGGCGACTGCGGGAATAGTGAGAGAAGAAATTTAATATTTGTGTTTATTAATATAAGTAGATAAAACCTCGGCGAAAAAGAAAAAAAGTAACTACTCGCAGTATGTAATCTTATACGAAGTATAGCATAATGTCAGTAATTATGCTATCTATAATAAGTGGAATATAAACAGTCCTCCTAAAATATTTATCGTTATTTCCTTCATAATTATCGCGAAGTGTCTGCCGAGGCGCAGTACGAGGTTTCATTTCCTTTTATTGTTTGGCAAATTTGAGAATTTGACCACATTTGGGGGGGGGGGTTCATGTCACCTGTACTTCGGACCGCACCTGATGGTACGGCCGTGCCGCTTTTTTGGTCGACTTGGGGGGGCACTGCAGATTGGCTGATTTTAAAAATAGAGACCTTTTCATCGTGATTATATGGAATATATATTACAAAATAGTATAAAACTTTCCAAAAGTTCAAAATCGTATACATGTTGCTTAGACTTTTTGATGAATATATTTATCCTACTCAACTGTAGACAATAATTTGCCACATGCTGGGGTAAAATAGAAAAAAAAACGTCTCCTTTTCCTGAATGGGGCCCCCATGAAAAATAACTTAACTCAATGTTTAACCAATTATTCGCCTTTGGGCAAGCATTCTACATAAAACAACAAAATTTCTGTTCGGTAACTAATTTACAATCTATTAGAAACCCGTGACATATAGACAGACAAACAGACAGACAGATAGACGATAGAGTGACAGCAATTTTTTACCCTTTGAGTACAGAACCCTAAAAATATGTTTGATCCTTATTATTATAACGCCGCGCAGGCGCACACCTGCGTTATAATAATAACGATATCTTTGGTATCTGATTAAGATCACACCAAAGTGTCTCGCTGATTTGCCTCGCTTATAGTTAAGAGTCAACTTATTCGCTCAGTGATAAATAGCTGTGACAAGACACTGAAGTGATGTGCCTATTTTGCATAGCTCCTTGATCTTAAATCTTAGCACTAAGCTTACAGCCTAAGTAGTGGTATATTGTCACTGATAGATAAAACTACAGACCTAGATTGAAGTATGTATTGAAGTAAGCCGCATGTACTTCAAATAGTCGAATATTTAAAAAATATACGGTTGAAGACCCACTGAGATATAAAGAACGGTGACGCAAAGAATTAAATTAGCGTAAAAGGATGACCTTTGGACTTCCTTTTGCGACGCGAAGTACATACATTTGCGTTAAATCTATTTCGATCTATGTTTGGGATAAAACCCTCCATTATTATTTATCCCTATGTCGAACAAACAACAACACATTAAGTTAAGGTTGATAAACATTTTGCACTCAAGAATTACAGGTCTCGGCACGTAACTCTAGCGCTGAACAAAACGCGGAGGGGATAGCTGCGCATGGGTACGACTGGAGAGCCAATCGGCGCAACGGACGCATCCGCGCACCTCGTTTCCCCCCAAGACATCTTAATTTATATTTCTGCGCTATAACGGTCAGCGCTAGAGTTCGTGCCGCGACTTATAACAAACATACCAGCATCAAATAAAATATTCTCCGGGCAATACTTGATGGTGTGAGCTCGGTCGCCGGTGGCAGCACACACGGGGCACTTGTACGCTCGCAGTACCGGGCACTTGACTCGCCCACGCCCATCCTTCAGGCAATGGGACGAGTACCAAGCCGTAGACTCACCGTTGTTCTTGCAAAACGAACACTCCTATGTATTAAGATTCCATTAAATCGGCTGTCATTTAAAAGAGGTAGGGCATAGCGTATTTCCCTCTCGAATTGGAACGCCGGTCTGGGAAAGTAGCCTCCACCTTACAGATAACCACAGTAAAATAACACTACCTTTTGGTTGTGTTGTGTTTCTGTCGCTGAGTAAGGTTCCAGAGCTCCACGGGGTATGGGATGTGATCAGAGTAGGCAACGACGCGACTATTAGTTTTGGTAACACAAGCGTCTATAGGCAATGGTGACCGCTTACCATCAGGCGGGTCATATGCTTGTTTGACACCCTTTTAACATAAAAAAGGGTAGCAAACAACTAAGAAAAGTGGGCAGCATAAGCTATAGATGCACGGAATACCAGGACCACCTCATGGAGGTCTAAAAAATAAGGGAGCGCTTTGCCTATGAAACTATCTTTATTAGTTTCAAAATACTCAAAATTTTATCTACACAAAAATTGAAAGTTTTTGATAATAATAGGAAAGGAAGTGAACATTTATTAGATAAAACTTCTTGTAACTCCGCGTAATTCAGTTATTAAGCTTAATATGCATATATTGCGAGTGATTCTTTACACTTATTGAACTACCACAAAAAAAGAATTCTTGTGAAAAAACCCCTCAGTCTACTGGGTTCATTCATTTTCGAACTTATTAAATAGGCGGGGGCAACTTTTGCAACATCTGTTTTCAACATAATTAGACTATGTCTTCGAAAGATCAAACATACTAGTCGTTTCTGGACAGAATTTCGTTGGCGTCGCAAGGTGTCCGTAAAATGCATGAGTAACGCCAACTGTTGAGGAGTCAGGGACAGCAGAGCGGCCTCTTGCTGCAACACCATTGACTTGAAATCTACCGCAGGGTGATCATCAAACAATTTATCTAAAAAGAGTAATTGAAATTGAAAAAATATTTCACACACTGAAACAATGCATACATATGCATGTATGTACAAAAAGAAAGGAATCAAATAATAAAAACAGACTTCAAATACGAAAATGGAACTAAAATGTAAAAAATAATATTTGGTTCATGATTTAGAAGTCGGGCGGGGTCAAGATTGAAACACACTGGTGAAAGAGCCACAGATGTTACGTTAGTATCACAGAAGTTAATATTCTTCACTGACGCTGACACTGGCTAAACACTTTTTTTTGAAGTGAAAACTTCTTTAGCGGATTTGTAGTTTTTTGTAATGGGTAAAAAATGTTAAACTCGCGTCAGGACACGTGGCACAATCGAAAATTCGTAAGACGAAAACAATAAAATTGGAAAGGTTGTTGACTTTCAATATATTGGACGGAACATAGTTATATTTTATTTTACCGTATTATAATAATAAGTCTCTAATTTGGACGTCCAGGTGGCAGCTTTATTGGGAAGAAAATGCATTTTTGAAGTGAAAACTTCTTTAGCGGCGTTGTACACTTTTTTGTATGGGAAAAAATGTTATAGTCGCGTCAAGATACGTGGGCTGATCGCGTCATAACACGTGGCCTGATCGGGGATCTGACAAAATAAATTAAATTGGAAAGGTTGTTGACTTTCAATATATTGGACGAATATTACTAAGTCTCTATCTAGGACGTCCAGGTGGCAGCTTTATTGCGAAGAAAAAGCATTTATTTTTACAATAGATGACGCTAGGTGCGCTTAAATGTGATTCATGTAAGTTGATTTTTCTGAGAAACGAACTTTTTAATGTAATATAAATTGTCATGTTTGTGTACGATAGCGCAATAAATAAATATTGTATTCTACCACAGAAATGATTGTACTTTTATACTGATAATTAAAGCAATTCGTGCAAAATTATTCCCTAACCATTCCAAAATATCAAAAATGCACAACGTTAATATTCAAGTTTTCCCTTCTGCCGGCACTCCCGGAGTGCAACCCGTCGCTTCTTAGTAGTATATTTCTTTATATTAACCTGAAATTTTATAAAATGAAATTGATAATAAAATGTGTCTAAACTTGAGATTTATTTTATTTTATTTTTTTATTTTATTTCACTTAATAAAACTTGACAAAGTAAAATGATGCCAAATGATAATTTGACCACGTGAATATAATACACATTGTTGCTAAAGATTTATTTGGGAAATAAAACTACCACGATGTTTTTGGGGAATGTAATTTGATGGAAAATGTTTTGCCCAAAGAGCAATACACCGCAAAATGGTATCAAAATCTATAGGTGATCCACATCCATAGATGGTGAAAGCTATATGAAGACGTAATTTCTTATTTTTTAACATGACTGCCAAAAAAAGAGTGTAATGTATTCAGGGTTTATGTATGTACAATTCTTTATTCTACCATAACTTCTAAACGCCTGAACTGATTTAGATGTGTGTGATATCGTTAGAATCCTTTCACCATCCAGGGTAGCATAGGAATGTTAAAACAGCATTATTTATGTCAAATAAAAAAACTTCTAATTATGTCAACATAGGTATCATTTGAAAGGTCTTAATGATACCATATCAAATATAAACAAATATAGTAGCATTAATAAACGGGTTTACCTGTAAAAACGAGATAAATACTAGTTTTTTTTTTACTCTTTAAAGTTTTTTTAAAGGCAGTCGTATTTTTTTAATGTTGTGCTTGTTTACTCAAATCATTATTTTAATTACTATAAAACGCATATCCAAAACTTCGATGAATTCGAAATTGGATTTTGAGATCAGCGTACCTACTATTGGAAAATAAAAAGGTAGTTTATTTTAATACACCCAAAACAAACCAATGCACACAACACACTCTCCACATTATTGATTTCAATTCTAACATTTATTGTGATAGCGGTAGAGTCCAATAAACTGTTATAAGTGTTTATTTGCTTACTCATTCAGGCGCCGTTACTTCGTTTCTAAGGTTCAAAGGCACCAAAACATCTTTCAGCAACTTTTTATGTCGAAAGCTACGGACGAAGTGGTCATTAGATACCTATTTAAGGAATGGTAAAAAAACGTCACCGATTATTTTTGGTGCTCGATTCACTTCCTGAGCTGCCAACTAATTTTAAAACTATTCATGAATGTCTATATCAGGCCAATCAAAGAAGTTTTATTTCAACAGTTAACATATTTAAACCAACATACTAAACTCTGTATTGTTATAACTACCAAGTCATTCTTTTGTTCTTAATTTATTATTAATCTACCGTTTTTAAGAAAGAAAGCCAAGTTCTATTGCAGAAATTAATTCGGTTTGCAAAAATATTTGTATTTACCACCTACTCTTATAAGTAAAAAAATTTGGCAACCTAGAATATAGCTTATTTTCCTGCTGTTCATGAGCCAGGTTGGCTGATGTGACGCTTGTGTCTTGTGTCATACAAGCGTCACATCATCCTCTACCCCATGAAGCCCTTGAAACCTTTATCTATTTAGAGTTACACAACATAGGGTGTAGTATTCTCTCTAAAAGTCTAGTCTTTATACCAATAATTTTATTTGTACAAGTTCATCCTAATAACCTAATAAGGAAAATGTTCATCGATCACCATATTTGGCAAAATGTGACATTAACAACCCATCGATCGCCTAAATAAATTTGGGATATATCCTTTAACGGCTTATCGGTTAACGGGGAAGTGGTAGTACTTTTTTTAGGTCTAATGACAGTACATTTCTCATGCACAGATAGCTCAGGTGATTGGTGATGGATGATGATAAATGACAAAATATGTTGGACACATCATTTAAAACTATGTTAGTAACAATTATTTTATAATGAATACTTTCGTATTATTACTATAATTTCGTCTAGCTTCTTGTTTTTTTCTCCAACAAAATTGTTTTGTTTCCATCGTTTAGATGTTAGAATCATATGTTTCAATTGATAACTTATTCATTTATTAGGTTTATGTTCTGCAACAGATTTTACTACATTTTTCCATCCCTCCATAACGCGTATTCGGTTTGATATCCAGGGCCTGATTTACCCACAGGCTAATAAGGCTAGAGCCTAGGGCGCAAGGCCCAATTTGGCGGCCGGCACGTGTGGCGCTGAGCTGAGCTGATCTTACATTTAAATATTTGGTAATCATGGGAAAATACGTGTGTTAAAATAAAATTCCTGCGTGCGCTCTCACACAAACGTATTAAAAACCATAGATAATAGCTCACGGGCAACATCACGAACAAAATCATGGCCGAAAGGTAATAAAGTAAAGGATTTTTTTATCGAGCAACCATCAATGTGACTACTCGGATAGATCGTTCCCTTAAGCAATCATAAATTCAAGCACAAAGACTAGTGGGGATTCCATAAGCAGGAAAATTAGGTGTATGCCATCGTGACAAACCTTGCCAAAAGTGAGTGAGTGAGTGCCAAAGGTGAGGCACTAGCTGTCTTGCAAGACACTTAATGTCTAGCAAGACAGCTAGTGCCTCACCATGTTTCTCAAACCCCTTACTCCAGAGGTGTGTGGCATATACTAGAAGATCCCCAGTAGAATAATGCTGGCGAAATCCGTATTGCCGATCACTGAGAAGATCATTGTCAACATTATCTTGCAGCCGGCCTCTTCACTAACTATTTTGACATTTACAGTGTGTAACTAAAGAGAAAATTGCATATCCATCGATGCTTTTCAGAACAAGTATCATAGTGGCGTTATAATAAAGCAGTAGTGGATCACTAAATAGTTGCTTGGTGATTATCACTTCCATCTGTCAAAAGCAGTTAGCGAGTAGGCCTACTCGTATGCCAGTTATCAGGCGTCTAGTTAGAACAGGCTGCATCACCTTACAGAGGATGGAGGTAATCAAAATTGTGCGATAATTCTTAGGGTCAACACGACTGCCCTTTTGGGTACAGGCTGTACATTAGCCTGCTTTCAGGCTGTCGGTAGCGTTCCAGTCAGCGACAAACGAAACAGGTGTATCAGAACAGGAGACAATTCGGCTGCACAATACCTCAATACAATGGCAGGAATACCATTGGGGCCACTGGCTTTATTCGCATCTAGATTGCGCAATATTTCCACCACCGCCACCTTCTGATGAGTGCTGATTTCAGCTATTTTACATTTGCAATGAGGCTTTGGCGTTACTTTAATCCCTGAATACAGATGTGAATTTACGGCAAATATAGAAAACAAACAAACAGCTTCGCCTTTTCAACTGCGGTGTGCGCCAGTGTACCATTGGGTTTCTGCAGAGGAAGAAGTTAGGAGCGGAAAAAAGTTAGCCTCAACACTCTTGGCCAGGGACCAGAATTCCTTACTTCCTGCAGGAAACGAAGCGAGTATAGCTCTTACGCGACCGATATGATCAAAGCGGGCCTTTGAGCGCTTTTTTGCAGGACGTGGCTGTTACGTCTTTGGCATTTTTCCTTTGGGCGCATCCGGAGCCTTTCGATTCCTAGCATCAGTCCGGACCTCGCATACTGACTGCTTGATCGCCTCAGCTTCCAAACAATCAACATCAAACCATGGCTGAGCTCTCAGGTCTGTGGGCCGGTTGTAGAATGAAACGTAATATTCCATCGCTTCGCCAATAACCTGTTCAACAGCGGACGCGCTGGTAGATCCTAGATCTTCGAAAGAAAAATTCCACTCTTAGCCATGGATAAGAGATGACAAAAAATGATGCGTCTCATCCCAATCTGCTGATTTCTACCACCACATTTGCCTGGTACCTTTGGGACTGGAGTCAGGCGGCAGCAATAATAATATAAACTTAATCAGACTTCCGAGGGGAGCTGACACTGACACTTAGTATCCGTGTGGTTCAGCCGTCAGCAGACGGTCCAAACAATTAGAGATGTGGTTCTCAACATCAGGTACAAGAGTCGCTTGGTCTACCAGCTGAGAAAGGTTTATTGACAGAGCAAGCTTGTAAGCCTCTCTCCACCAGCATGGACAGTTCACTGCTATGGGAATAACCACTGGTCATGGAGGGCATTAAAATCCCCCAGAAAAAGGATTTGAGCAGTCGGATATCCGACCTGAGCTTCATCGGCCGCCTCATTTAGATATTCGAAGAGTCTAGTTGTTTTCCGATCTCCGCTATGCGATCTGTATAATACACCAACAAAAACTATTTTTTCGATGATGTTGGGTTACTTAAGCTGTCTTCTGTACTTGTCATTTAATTAGTTGCACCTGTGAGTGAATGAAAAGGTAGGATAGGATAGCAGCAGCATATTCATAGTTAGCCTAGAGCGGTCAGAGCTCTAAATCAGACACTGCTAATATCGTATTATACGGACAAAATAAAGAGTTGTATGACACAACTCTTTATTTTGTCCGTATATGTTTGTTTTTTTTAATGTTGCGGATGACTTCTCTTTTGATTGGGTACTAATTTTATTCAGCAATGAAGAATTGGCCTTTTTGTCCCTATGTTGGGACTTAAGTGTTCCCAATTGTAAAAAAATATTTGGAAAATAAACGTTAATATAGGTTTTTCAATTTGATGACTGAAATAAAACAGGGTAAGTACCTAGTGAAAGACCTTTGCTAAGTATCTTGCCGGTTCCCCTCAGTATAACGTCTCTCGTTTTTTTTATTTTCGGAACGAATAGGTATTTGCCTAATGTATCATTTTTATCGAATTTTTTATAATTGCTTATAACTGCTGGGTAAAACGGGTAAACGATATTGAAGTTTAAAAAAATTGATCGTAACCAGATAATGGTTATTGGAGTACTTGATAAGCAAGTACTAATGCCAAACCTTACCCTGAGACGAAGATTTTGGTTGCTGTTTTTGGTCAGCTTCTCCATTACTAAGTTTGGTATCGATGGTGATCTGTGCCTCCAAAACAGCTGGATCTAACTTAACTGCGTCCAGCGCATCTGAGGACAAACAACGTAGTTAATTAAATGACATTGTGTATGTATAATCATGATTACAATATTATGTAAGCTAGCAAAATAAGTAGTTCAGAGAAGACTTGAGCCAAACAACACTACCTATTGCTATGTTTCAAATGAATGATTCCAATTTGTCTCGCTTGCTAATACGACAGACATAGTATGAGATTGCCCTATACAAAGTAATCGATAAATTGAATTATCTCATCTTCTAAGAGTGGTGGGGTACAGCGGAATTTGTTTTTAAATCGGAGCGATCATCTAAGGAAAGTGACTTCCACCTTACAGAAGGCGGTCGTGTGGTGTTGTACAGTTTACTTAGAGTGCTCTTTTTTTTCAGCATCACGCAGTTTTGGGTTAGTGAAATGCGCGGGCGAATCGTAATATGGTTAAGTTACTGAGTCGGCGTGAAAAATTTGACTGAGTTACCCATGTTTACATTTGATTTAACAATTTCAATGACTTAGTGGCTTACAAACCACTTTCTGTAATGTTTTTTTCTTTGAGTTCCAACCGTAAATCTGTTGTCCGCGCGTTTACCACTTTTTAGACACTAACAAATAAATTATAACTAGAGCAATTTGGTTATGTATCAGTAAAAATCAGTTCACCTATTTTTTGTAAACAATTGATTTTAGTACATTCGGATCATACCCACTAAGAAAATAGCATTTTTTTTATCATTACACTTACGATTGTCAAATGATAGTAATTTTTCTAACGATATCTATGAGTTTAACAACGGCCAAGGTAAGAGATATGATAAAAAAAATAAGTGCGTCAGTTTATACAGATACACTTATCTTGTTACATTTCGCAGCCAACTATTATATCATATGTAAGTTCTAGAAAACAATTTCTGAGACATAAAAAGTTACCATTTACATGCTTAAACAAAAAAAATATCAAGCTAGTTTCCTCACGCTGCGCTGTAACTACTTATATTTATATATGGATGTAATCTTCCAACAAATAGATATGAATATTTATAAAAGAAAGAAATCCTATTGAGACTCGAAGCACTGATTGAATCAAATCAGAAAACTAGCATTCTGATTATTTATTACGACTAAAGAACCCCGTTGGAGGTGCAGAGCCCTTATAGCGAGAGAGTTATAAGGGCTTCTAAGGGCGCTTGTTGACGAGACGATTTCTACCCGGGTCTAAGCACGGTTTCAAACTGTAGCTGCGCCTGGTCGTCAGTTAAGTATGGGACTCTGGTTGGTAACTACACCGCGCGGCGCTAGCGACGATTTGGAATCGGTACAAACGTACAAACCGTGCTCATGGCAAAACTTAGCCGGCATCGGTCCGGGTAGAAACTGTGCCTAGACCCGGCGGTAAACCATTCGTTAAAAAAAGCCTTAAGGTATCATCGGCAACCAGGAACACCTGAGAATTGTGCGATATTTTATCCCGAGTCATGATTGTTTACATACCCTTGTTAATCCTACATTACCGAGTTGTACAACAATGTACAAGGAAAAATATTCTTCGCACAAAACCGGGTAATGTTATAATATATATTTTTTCTTTGCACATTACTGATTACATTTCCAGTTTTGTACGAGGATGTAAATATTCTTACTAAATTACTTGGTTTTATTCAAAGAAATCATTATTCCGTGTACAAAACTAACAAGGTTCCCCGAGTAGAGTATGTAACTTCCGTATGTGGATCATCTTTTTATTTTCAAATAAGCATTGACAAGCTTAACTTTTCATTAGATAGAATAATTAAAAGGGGCAGGGGAAAAAAGGTACCATCTTAATTTATCGCATTTACTCCAGAACATTGCACAGCATTTCTGACACCACGCCTTGGACCGTATTTAAGGAAAACCTAAGTCGATCTGCGATTGACTCTGCGTGGCCGGTGCCAAAACCCGCACATTTGTTGGGCGACTCGTAAACTTCCGTCCATTCGTCTTTCCTAGCAAAGATACTTCCAGGCATTGTCGAGATATCAAAAAAATCAACTTGCTGAGAAAGTAATTTTTTACATTGGAAACTTCCCATGAAATCTTTTCGAATGCATCCGGGAATTGCACAAACACCTATTAATTCGGCAACCGCAATAATCCGTATTTGATTATATACCATTTTTTTGCATTCCATTATTTTTATTAACATTCGGTATTTGCGATTAACATTCTAATATCTTTTAAATTGTTAGAACCAAGCAGTGAATAATTTGCTAGAATAGTCAGTCACAGTAACACGATGAAAAACATGTAATTGAAAAAAATTTTACTAGAAAAAAATCCACACGGACCAGGCTGCAAACGGGACTCGAACCCGCACCCTTCATTATCCGGGCAAATGCATTGACCATTAAGCTACCGTGGCCCTGATGGCTGTGTTGAATTTTACTAGCCTTTCTTAGGCTGCAAGGCAGCGCCATCTCTTTGCAATTCGCCCGGATAGCGAAGGGTGTGGGTTCGAGTCCCGTCTGCTGCCTTGTCCGCGTGGAAATTTTAATAGTAAAATTTTCTTTAAATTTAAACATCTAGCAGCTTAAAGCTTAAAAATCTAAAAAATATAATGATTAATTGTTTTAAAAATTGTTACTATAGAGGACATAACATTAATAGTCCATGAAAGTTTAGCTAATATAAACGTATGGTCAACGGTTTCACATCGATAGCTCAGCTTTTTTGAATATTTTGAAACTGCAACAGTGGCCCGGTTTTTATTTCCTTGGTTTTGTATACTGAATAACGATTTCATTAAACAAAACCAAGTGAATAATGTAGGAAGAATATTTACATCTTCTCACAAATCTGGAAAAATAATCGGTAATGTGCGAAGAAAGAATATTTCTTACTACATTACCCGGTTTTGTGCGAAGAATATTTTTTCCTTGTACATTGCTGGTAATGTTACTCGGCAATGTACGAGTAACAAGGGTTTACATACCACCCTATGATATAGTATATCCTTATAGTGATAGTTGATAAGATCGCCCGGGAAGCGGAAAATACGGGTTCGAATCCCGGCTGAAATCTGGACCAAATGGACTTTTTTCTAGTAAAATTTTCTGGAAGGAAGGAATATTTGAAATTAAAATTTCTTGAACTCTAACATTTTCTTATTTATGTTACCTAATCTCTGGTATTATTAGCATTACTTATGTATTAGCGCAATCACCTTGATATCGCGATAAGATAAACCAAGGTCAGAATAAGTACAATAACAAAATATTATGAATGCCATTTAGAAATACAAAAAAAGTTACAATATTATATGGGAATGTAAAAAGTAATCTGTCAAAAAATAAAGAACTTACCCTTTTGACCACCCATATAAGCTGCCATATTTTCACTGGGCGAGGCCTGTAAAAAAATATTTCAAATTTAACTATTAAAAGTTATCGTCATGTGGTATAAGGTGATGGGTGAAAATCGGTATTTTGACTTAAAACTGGCAAATGTTTAGCCGAGCCTTGGCCTTTTGCTTTCTGCAGCATACATATGGATATTTCATAGCTGATTTCTTGTATCTTTTTTTTATTGTATTACTCTGTCTGTAAGTGTATAATATGTATGTTGAAGAAAAAATAAACGCATTATCTATCTATCTATCATTTTTAATCGACTTCTCAATTCGGTCGGTATGTTTTTGTTATGTTTGTACACGGATTATAATATTTGCATATAAGATTTGTTTGCATGCTCTTTAAATGATTAGTGAGTCAAACGCGCAAAAGCAACCTAACAGCCATAGATATGCCAATCAAAGTGTTGCTTCAGTTCCGTGTTCTTTCTTTTCCTAATAGCTACTTTATGTCTACCACAATTTTGTCAACATCCCGTGGGTAGACATAACACGGTTTACTTCAGTATTGTGAGTTACTCATTTGTTTCTAAGTGAATGTACCTAAAAAAATATAATACCAGAATTTTGACGACACATTACAAGACGCACTATTATTATTTTTGTTCATAAAAGCAGTTTTCCTTTTTTGTTCTTTTTTGTATTTTAATCACTAATAAAGTTAATTATCCTAATGTTAAACAAAACGACATCCCCAAATTTAATGTTACTTTAATTTATTTGACTTCTCAGAGTGCGCGAGTGTGTTTCTAAGTGAATAATTTCTTAATAAGCTCGAACTCAAAATACTCAAATTTACATGATTATAGTCTCGATTAAATAATCACCTCATCATAACGCTTTGAACAAGTTCTTTACATCTTTTTGACTATTTTTATTTCGGAACACGTGGAAAGTTTCGAGTCCTTTACAGAATAATTATTTGAAACAATTTTGTGTTAAGAATAGAATTTATAAAACATCCTTCATTCCGAAATACAAAATTACACTGTTAGAAATAAATACAGTCTACTTAATATAAGTAAAAGAAAGCAAATCTTTATAAAATTTCCGAATGGTGTTTTGTTACGATTAAAATGTGAAGATAATATTTATCTGCTGTTTAGTGCAATTAGGATATTCCAAAGATTTCAAGATAAGACAATGATAAAATCATAATTACTAGTACGGAAAAAAATATTTTTCTAATGATTCTGATAAATGTTGCAGATTACCTCACCTCAGGTTGTGTGCACAGATGAATATTTGTAGATGCGGATGGTGAAATACAACATGATCTATTTATTTTAGTTACATCCATAATGAATTATTAGAAAACCACACACAAAACCTTTACAACATAAGACTATCACCCAAGTGCGTAAAAGCACACGCAAAATTTTCTAATGCATGCAAGACAAGACTACCCACGTTAATCATTAAATATGAAATCAAGACCAAACACGTTAATGGATAGCGCACATTGGTCGGCGGTAAAAATCCGACAAATCGCTCATACATACTATTTTATATATTATATATTTTATGAACTTATAATTGGATTTAAAGTCTCATTCCACAATAGACTAATAAAATGTACCAACAGCATTGTTTCGGCTGTTTTTCGAACTTTATATATGTACCATTTAAATTTTTGTAATCAGAAAACTTAATAGAAATTAATACAATGTTTAATACAATATGGAATAATGATTGACAGTTAAATGACTTAGAATAATGTATGTAATTAATAATGTTATATATATTTTTTATTAAAACTTTTTAATTATATATGTACAGAAATAAATAATATTTAAATACAAATTTCCTAAACCTATTTATAAATAACATCCTATTTACAAAATAAAAAATAAGTCACCCCCATCGCCGCCGTCAGGGATGGTGCCCAATAGGCTGGCAGCATTGCCACGTTGAATGGCAAGGCTGATCCGTTGACCAAGATAGCTGCCAGCCTTTTGATCACCAGTAACTTCGGTGAGTCTCTTTGATATTTCCCTAAAAAAGGAACGAGCGCTTGGACCCCATGGGCCCATGGTCTCAACACCAAACGGCACAAATATATAGTTCTCATTGAGAGCTGAATATTTGCGCCGTTTAGAGCATTCAGCAGAGTCCGCCGCCGCACCCGCAGCAAGGGAGGTGCTCTCTGTGTGGCACGGAGCAAGCGTATCCGCGCAAGTTGCGTCCCACACAAGAGGGCGACCCTGCTTCCACGGAATGAGCGTCATTCCGTCAGGTCTCTTGCCATCATCACGAAAGATGCCACTAGGCTCAAGGACCGCTGGCACGTTGACTGCGACAAGAGCTCTGCGGATGACGTCATTGATGCAGGCTTGGCGGGAGACTCGGCCAGCGCTCATTTGGCATGAAAGACCATGGTGACCCAACTCACCGACGCGAGCACCGCAACGACAACGGTGGGGATGATTCGTCTTGACACCAAGTCGAAGCGATATTGCCAGAGACAGAGTGCTCTTGTCAAGCAAAGTCCCGATACTGGCTGAAGGTAAAGCTTAATAATGTTTAATTTAAATTTTGACGAAACGTAAGTGGATTAATTGTAATTAATAATCTATGGGACATGTATTTGAATGCATACCAGTGCCTGAAATAAAAATGATTTATTATTATTATTATATGAACTATCGCACAATACACCGGGGCGCAGCGTGCCACATAATTCACCGCGGATTTAAATTGCGTGCGATGCGCCCGGCCCCACTACGCCCCGACACAGTGTGCTGTAGCAAGCGGATTGAAGCACGAACGTCTGACAGGTCTGCGTTCAGAAAATCCGCTCCACGTGCAAGCGATGTAAATTTTGACATAAGTTCCATTTTTTTTTCTCGAAATTTAAACGTCAGGATAAGAGGTTGCACTCAGAGCATGGGTTTTGAACGTAGCCGAGTACGGTAAAAGCTCCTTATTCACGCTTCCTATATTCGCGTTTTCACTATTCGCGGATTAGATTAAATTAATTGGGACCAAATTCTCATATTCGCGGCAAAAAATTGCGTTATTCGCGGATCTAATCAAAATATATATATAAAGGATTTGCTAACCTTCGGTAACGCTTCGGCAGATGGAGTAATTACAAAATAAATAAAATAGACCTTATTTTGATTCAATCTACGGTATGTTCTCAAATGCTATCGCCGGTGCATAAGATGGTTTCGCCTTTTCTTTTGATATGAGACGCTGTTTGAAAATGTAAACAAACAGAATAATGTTTATGTAAAACAATCTTATTACTCTATGCCTAAAATATATTGTTAAATGTATTATAGTATCATATCATATGATAATATCACATAATTTAAGTTAGAAGCTCCGCCACGTCCTCTGGTACGAGCCGCTTTGCGTGGTTTATTCACCCTTCTTTTCATTCATCCCAAAAATTGTGATCGAGTAACACGTCTCTTGCGCTGTGCTCCTAAATTATAATTTCGACAAAGAAAAAAATTGCTTCGAGTTGAAAAATATCAGTGTTACCGTTTAAAGTAACAGTTCTTTAAACCCTTGCCTAAGCCTGACAATAATTAATGTGAAAAATAAAAAAAAAGTTTTTTTTTGCCGCCTTGAAACGTATCCACTACAATTTCATATAAATTACCACTACATATTCACGGTTTCTGTATTCGCGGCATATTTCTTTAACGTATGCCCCGCGAATAAGGAACTTTTACTGTATACAACCTAAAAATCGTCAATGCGCTTCCCCGGTCCGTCACTAATGTGCTAAGTAAGCATTTTGCGATGCGTTGCGGCCCGCTCCGCCCCGCTGCGGCCCTATCCTTCAGGTTCGCACACAATACATTATGCCTGGCAGCAGCGGGTCGGATCGTACGCAGGGACATAGCAGTTACCCGGGGCCAGAGGCGCCGGCGGCGCGTGCCTTTAGTAATTATATAAATAAAGTCATTGTTTATAATACAAGCCTGAGAACAAAAACCATAGTCTACACTACAGCTCTACACCGAAGCGAAGCGAGGGCGGGCCACTAGTTGGTTCATATTTCCCTTCTTCCTGTTTCATAGCATTCATACTAAATACTAAACAATAACTAAAACAAGTAAACATTGGCAAACCTAACGCGACTGCCGAGCGTAGGTATGAAAAGTTAAGTACATGCATGAGATTACCTTCTGTACTTTTTATTTTGTGCAATCGCATACTATGAGGCGACGCATATTCCGCGGATTTTGACGAAGTGTGTTATAGCAAGCGGATTGGGTACATAAAGTTGCACAGACGTCTGACAGTACACTGTACCCAAATCCGTCAATGAGCTGCGACCCATCACTAATGTGTTATATTGGCACTTCACTTGGCTATTCGAGTTGTATTTGTAAACATGACATCAGTCTGTCCTTTTCATTCCTTTTAGAGCGCGATAAGGACAGACTGGTGTCAAGATTACAAACAGCTTAGACTAGATAAACCGTATTTTGTTCATTTCACTCAAATGCAATTTGTCATTCGATGAACAGAGACAAAACATGGAGTAACTTATCCAAGCTTATTCTTCGATTATTAATAAGGAGGAATGTGTGCGAACCATAATCCTGTACAGATTTTGCATTGAGTGATTTTACTCATGAGTGTTCAGGGTAAGGTCAGATCAAGAGCATTGTGATGTGTCACGATACACAGACATTTTATGGTAATAAGAATCGCTAGTTTTATAACTTTTTTTGGAGTTTACTCCTTAAGAATCGATTTGCATATATAAGGGGCCCGGTATGAGAAAAATTTGAGGAGTAAAATCTATCGATGAATGACATTAATGACCTCGTTACGTTTTTGTGCGCAACCTCATCTGCGCACCTTTCACTTTGAGCCATGGCAACGGATAAAAAAAATGGGTGCGTGTACTTATGCAGGCGCGTGAGAAGTTATCCTTCTTTGGCATCGTTTAAAATTAGTTTTTAATTGCATGCAAATAATTAATTACAATAAATTAATAAAAAGTCTGGAAAAGGACACAGTCAATAAAGTT